CCAGGAATCTCGACAATCAAATAAGTACCACAGATCTCGACAATCATACAAGCACTGACATCAGACGAAGCATGACTTGGAAAAGTGAACAACAAACACCGACAAACAGACATTATCTCACCTGGAAGTCCCAAATCTGCACACAATTTCTGTATATAAATCAAACCACCGTGTGCAAACAACGGACGACGCACAAGTATCACTACTATTGGGGGCGCGAGCGGAAAACGACCACCTCCGGACGATTCCCTTTTTTATAGGGGTGCTCGCCGTCAAACGGCACGCGCCGGCCAAGATCAAATGTTCTAAATGGGCTGTAGACGGAAGCCCTGTGTCCGTGTTTTCACCGGAGCCTTACTAGTGGAGGCTTCGGCAGCCTCCCTGATTTCGGAAACCAAGCAAGCTGAAACCACGTGGAAGACCATGTTGAAATGTGTTGTCAAGCTGTATCAGAGGCGTGCAACTCAAAACGGTGAATATGACTTCTTGTAGCCTAAATCAATCAGGTCCACCCGCTTATTACCCGGGAGCTAAGTGTGTTAAGACACTACACAGAACAGCGTTTTGAATAGCACTCAAAATAGTCTGTTGCCACGAAATTTAATTATATCGACAGATGTGACTGTCATGTGTCATGTCAGGCCAAAGGAGCGAAACGCTATTGTTCATTGAACCGTCCCGCTATATAAAAACTAAACGAGCGAAACCCGACCGAACTTCTCTTAATCCTTGCAAATATTGGTTACGCCTCATCAAACGATGCTACCAATGTGTAAAGTGCTAATTCCTATAGAGCAATTAAACGGTCTTCTGGGCCCTTTAGCCGATCCAGAGAAAATCCTATTGTCAAACTGAAATTGAGATGAATGAATTGGGCCAACCGACCATTCAACAGTCTTGCGTCCGTTTAATGCCGCGCTTGTCAAATTCACATTTTGACGACAATTTATTGGTTTCATTAATAATTTGGTGTTTTCCACTCGGTTTAATTGCTGTTCGCCAAATTAATTATTTGACAAAGAGGCATTCGGCTTATTGACGATCGGAGATGATTTTCCATTTGTCTCATGACCATTCGTTCAGACTCCGTTTCGGTATGTTGGCATTTGGCCAATTGGCATTCCGCTCCCTTAGTTTTCGGTTAATAAGCACTTTGATTTTTTCACGTTTCGACAATACGCGCTATGTCTATAACACATGTCGTCAGTATGGTTAGCCTTTTGCTTATCACCTTTAAACGTGACATCAAAAAGGACAGCGGCAAAGAACATTCAGGTTCCCCACACTAAATGAAATAGCATTCGATTTAACGCCATATGACAATATGTCCCGGGATGGAACTTTCACAAGCATCAGCCTTGCTTAGTAAACTGCAGTCAGTCCATCAACTGTTTGTTTGACATGAGGTTTTCATCTGGTCGCACCCACGAATAGAGTAGGGATACTCCATCAAAAATGAAAAGGTTCTCAAAGAATTTGTGAGTGATAAAAACCCAAGCAAACAAGTAAAAAAAAGCAGGAACATTCCATTTGAACTCGAAAACCAGGAACTGTGCACGCGTTCCTGTTTCCAACTTTTCAATACACAATAGAAAGTATGCAGTTTTCCCGAGCCCTTCTAAAGCTATAGTGACTTCCGGCCACCACGTTAACCTTCCAAACAAAATAAATGACATGAGAGCATTGCAAGCAAGCAACGTGCATCCCCTGTGCACCCAAGCGTGCAGTCCCTGAGCTCAGTTGCATTTAAAAAGGAACAACGCATTTAAGATTGCATGATATGCCCTGAAATACTTGCAAATGCTTGGAATCCGTCAAACAGATGCCAAGTAAATGCTTGGGATCCGTCGAACGTACCTCCTGAAAACTGTTACAATCGATGACGCGTGCGCAATTTCACGAGGTTTTCTGACATGGTTGACTTCAGATCAGCCTGTTGATCTACTGAAAAAGCATATAAGGCGACTTGCACGACCACAGCCCAACGTAGGCCTTTCCAACCTCAAGTATAATATATCCAACTACTTTATAATTACATCGCCTACGGTGCCCTCAGTAACTAATATTACAGCCAAACCTAGCCCAGGGACGCAGTCAAGGGAAAGGTCAAAGAGCCGTGTCCCCCCCCCCCCTGAGGCAAGAGTTGTACTCTAGATACCAGAACTCTTATACTCTAGATACCAGAAGCTGTCACAAGAATTTTGGTCCCAATTCGCGGGCCTTTAAAGTTACATTCGCCTCTCCTTTTAGGAATCTGTTTGCTACGCGTCGGACCATCGAGTCTACAATTCAGGCTTTTTGATAACTAATGGCCTCATACCAACTCAGCCAACGTAAGATCTTAAAGAACGTATTCAGGGTTTTGGGATTTTGCAGCCGGTTCTGGAAATCTCTCGGAAACCAGAAAACAAATAACACGATCTACACAAAGTCTGCGGATAGATGTAGAGCACGTCATTGCATTATCTGTGTGGAAGCTGCCTACCTTAGGTGAGCCTCTTGACGCTCAAACACCGTAATCAGCCTCTTTGGGGTATGGCAGCCAATAGGAAGATGCCCAGCTAATTTACTGTACAGGTTTACCAACTAACAGAGAGCCAATCACTCCTTCTGTTGTCTGTGATGCAGCCAAGTATAGGGCCATGGTGGCCATATCTCTCTCTCCCCCAAGTCAAGCGGTTAGCGCCTATACCCAGCTAAAGTGTGAATTTGTAAGAATCTGGTGGTAATTCGCAGACTCCGGAGAAATTTTAATATTGCTCCGCAGCGAAATTTTAACCACGTGCGTGTATGCCACACGTAGAGTGGCGTTTGGGTTCTCTTCACTAGGACTCTCCGGAACAAGGGATTATACGGTTTCAGCGCAGCACAGCCATAGATAGCAGATTCCAGAAGAAATGTTTGGGTAGCCGCCAGAGTGATGACCGATATTTCAGGCTGTTTATCAGTGTAGGTCCAATGTTAAAAACTGACATTATTTGTGGCCTGGACCCATAAACTCCACCACACGGAACCAATGCGAGACATGCCCATTTACAGTTGTTTTATGACTTGACATTGCGCATAGAGCGCTGCATGCAGAGAAGCGTCTTACGCCGTCAACTCGACCCCCTCCTCCTTTGTCGTGACTGTGGCGAAATAACTAGGGAAGCCCCAATATTTTGGGTGAATTCTAGTCACCAAAGCCTGCGCTACGCGTCTATGCAGCCGGCATGGTCTGATCTGTTTCGGTTCGGATGTCTTGGGTGGCAGTTGCCTCTGCTGAGCCCTACCCCCTGAAAAGGTGAACTTGGCTGCTCTCCGGTCCAAAACTGACGTATTTTTGAGCCAAACTGTGTCAGAGACACCGGAAGTTCTACTAACGTGGGATGGTCGATTGCCACTTTTAGTCATTTATTCCCAGCCCATGTCCATAGGCTCACTTTTAGCTTTTTTGGGGATTTTATTTGGGGGGAGGGCTCCTCCTGGTCCTGCTTGCTGCGTTCCTGGGCAGGGCTGAGATTGTTTGACGCTTCGTAGGCGGTACGTGCGCCCCGTGTGTGTTGCCCACGATTGCACGTGATGACCTGCACTCGTGGACCCGGTTTGCATACGTCGTACGACCGTCTCTTCTCTCCGTTAATGCGAGTCTCTTGTTGCTGTTGGCCCAGGTCTGGGCTTGTTTCCGACTTTTGTCTATCAGTTTTATTTCGCGACTTGCAAATGATCGATTCCTTGTAATCGAATGAAGCGATGAAACAGTGGTGATACTGCCATCCTTCAAAAAGCCATCACCCGCATAAACAGCCGGTGTTTAAGTGCGCATAAAACAATGTTGTCGTCTTGAAGCCTCCACTCCCTCAATCCGCCGTACGCATCATGAGCAACTGTGCAGATGCTCCACAGATTTCTGTCGCATTCAATACTATCGCACACTTCCTGGGTAACTCATATTGTACAGCTTCAAAGCAGTTACGCACACCTGACGGCGATTGTGGTTGGATCATGACGCGATTCATGGATTTCTGACGTGGAATCGAATCCATTTTGATCCTGTCCCAAAGTTTATGAATCGGCTCTGAGCCCAATTAACATCACTAAACAACGGAGTCGAATCTGAATCGGATTCTAGCCCTAACAGAGCATCTCCAAGGTCGCATTGGATTCCGTGCGAGTCAAGCAGAAGTTCAGCGTCACGTGCCAAGCGCCAGCCTGGCTGGTTCCTCCGCTATGCGTCTCTCCCCTGGAAGCCAGACGCTGCCCTCAAATGCATGCCGTGCTCCACGTTAAGCTCCCCACCAACAACGCCGCTTAATGCTTTCTTCCAACGTCCACCCCTCGCCAAGGAGCTTAACGGCGCGATGCCTGCTGCGCGTTCCCTGTTAATGAAAAAGATCGGACGCAGAAGAACAGGCGTATATTCGCTTCGATGTTGGTCTCATTAAGCGCGGCGGCAGTGACCGTGCGCCGAGAAGCGGCGGCCCGGCTGGCCGTACGAGGCATCCTCACAACCGGGCACCAGCAGGCCCCCACACATACACGCAGACATGCAGTCAGACCGATTTACAGACAGGGCGCTCACGGCCGAACGGAGGCAGTGACATCACTGGCGCCAACGAGTGACGTCACTGGTATATTTCCCTCGATCGGTGCGGCTCTCGCTGCCACGCCAGTCGAGTACAGTTGGCGAGCACGGTTGACGACCGTACTGTGGCCGTGCACGCCCGGTTAGCGCAGTGGGTAAGTAGGCTGACCTGGCCGGCGCCAACGCCATCGGCACATGGGGACATAGTCACGTACATTCACATGAGTACACCGGTTGGACACGGGAATGCGATCAAATGTCTGTAAACACGCAAGAGACACTAAGATACATTATACGCCTCGAGCCCGTGACGTCACGGATACGTGACGTAAGAGCGACGTCACATCACGCATCCGTCGAGTCCTCGCTCCGCGTCGCGCCCGCCACGTGGCCGGCACGTGGCCGCCACGGGGTGCGTCACAACTCGGTGGTCTCCACGTGCTTGCCGCGCGGGGCGTGGCGGCCGCTCTGGCTGAGGATGTTCTGCTGGTACCGATTCAGGTCGTTGGTGGTCTTGGGCCCGGCGTCCGGCCTGTTGAAGTTGACCGAGGAACGGGACGGCGACCTGTCGAACGGGCCCACAGCGGGTCAGGGGCGACGCCAGCGGTGGGAGAGCAGGAGGCACGCAATCCAATCGAGCGTACCTGCAGCGGGTCAGGAGCGAAGCAAGCAGTGGGATAAGGGGAGGCACGGGGAGGCAATCCAATCGAACGGGCCCGCAGCGAGTCAGGGGCGACGCCAACGGTGGGAAGAGTGGAAAGAACACAACCCAGTCGGGCGGGGATGGATAGGGAACAAGCGCGGATCAAACGTTAACCAAAAGAAACGTGTCGCATGAACCACAATGACGTGCCGCAACATAATATATTCAGACTCTTGCGTGCCATAAACCAAACTGTCCTGGTTCCGATCGTATGGTTTGTACGTGTCTGTGTAGATTCTTAGCTATCAAAATTTAGTCACGCACGTATTAAAGAGAACGTGTCGTCTTTAAAGACATTAAAGTACGCATCAGACAGGATGGAACAAGCTCATTTGTAACTATTGCCATACTTTTTAAACGGAAGAGACTGCTTTTGACAGCACGATTCTCTGTTTCACAAATATGACCCTCAATGCGTCGTGATTTAATTACGTCATCGTACCCTGCACAACATTGAATGAGAGCCAATTGACAGCCGTTAGTTGTGGAAGCGGTGCTCACGAACACCAGCTATGAACACGTCGACAATTATATTGTTCTTGGTCTTGATCGCCACATAAATATGGAATGGCAGGCTTTGAATGGCATCATTGTGACGTTATAAATGCCAAGGTGACATTACAAAGCTCTCCCCGAAATACTCTCCCCAAATTCGCGGGCGTGAAGCTCAGAAACTAGGCGGCTTTGAACCTTAGGAAGGGCGGGATTGTAAATAGCGTCGAAGCAGTCAGTCTTTGCGTCTTCGAGTTTTCAGTCTTCGAGGTGCCTATTTCGAGTCAAAACCTCATATAAATGTTGAGCGCTCCCGTTAAAGGGAGTTTACCACATTCGCATGGGATTTTGAACTGAAATAGCCACCTTGAAGATCAATCGGTACAGTTCACGGCCATGCCATTCTTGAGACCTAGACCCCCCTAGTTTCTGAGCTAAACGCCCGCGAAGATATGCAGACTATTTCGGGAGACTAATTCAAAGTCACCCAGGCATTCATGACGCCATAATATGGTCACTCAAACCCGGTCATTGCATTAGCCATGCTGCGACCAAGGCCTATAAAGGCATAATTATCGAATCGTTCACATCTGGCGTTCGTGGGCATAATTTCCAGATATTGCCGTCAGCTGGCTCTCGAGCAATTTTGTGCAAGGGACGACGATGTGACGTATTGAAGAGCATATTCACTAAAGAGACAAATTATGCTGTCAAGAGCAGCCTTTTTCATTTAAAAGCATACCAAAAGTTACAAATGAGCTTATTTCATCATATCTCACACTTGCTTCAATGCCTTCAAATGAGGGACATTCCTTTTAATCCTTAACCTAAATTTGGTCAGGGGAGGGAAAACACGCTCCGTGGTCTATTTTGCTCGTACGTCCCTGTTACTACACATTTCAATAAAACACAAGGATGTCTTTTTAACCCTGGTCTGATGGAGTAACGCCATTTTCGAAGACATGCGTGAGGAACGGCTGCACGTCAAACATCAGCATTTATAATATCGTTGCTACCGTCATCATCAAATCACAACATCAGACTGCCATCACACACAGCAGCCAGCCGACCCACCCGTGCTGGTGGGTGAACAGGTCCTGCTGCTGCTGGGCCGACAGGGTCAGACTGTCGCCGGTGAAGGCGTTCTCATCCAGACTGTCTCCCTCCACATACAGGCGGCTGTCGGCAGACAGACATACAACACCAACCGGGCTCGACGGGCAGTGTATGGGCGCAAAATGACCATTCAAGTCGACGCGCCCTAAAACACCAGTGAACAATAACAAGACGGGCAGTGTACGGCAGGGTACGCCGGCGAAGCTACGGTCGCGGCGTGGCGAGCGTGCGCTTCGAAGGCCAAAAAACGTAAAGGGATGCAGTGTTCATGAGCTCAAGGGGCCATCGTGATGGCTTTTATGAGGTATGATGATGTGCTGGTGATGGTTTTTATGAGGTAGGCATGGTGTGCTGGTGATGGTTTTTATGAGGTATGCATGATGTGCTGGTGGGTTTATGACGAACCCTAGTCGCATGGTTCTTCGGATTTGATAAGCCCTGGATTAAGGCGTGATGAAAAAAAATTAAAGGCATTGAAGAGATCCGTAAGGTATTGAGGAGATATGTGAGGTGTTGAGGAGATCCGTGAGAATGTGTTGAGGGGATCTGTGAGGCGATTATCAGGAGATCCGTGAGGGTATGTTGATGAGATCCGCTACAGAGAGAGAGAGTTGAGAAGAGCCGTGAAGGGATACCGAGGAGATCCGTGAGGAGCTGTTGAGGAGATGCGCGAGGAGATGCTGAGGAGATCCATGAGGAACGAACAGGGCGCTCAATGTTATGGATCAAACGTTGCAATCTTTATGATATTTGATGCAGTGAGAACGTCGTACTGGACTGCAACTTGGCCTTGAGGAGGCCGTAAGATGGTATTGAGGTATCGTGAGCCATCGTGATGGCTTTTATGAGGTATGATGATGTGCTGGTGATGGATTTTATGAGGTATGATGATGTGCTGGTGATGGCTTTTATGAGGCATGATGATGTGCTGGTGATGGATTTTATGAGGTATGCATGATGTGCTGGTGGGTTTATGGCGAACCCTAGTCGCATGGTTCTTCGGATTTGATAAGCCCTGGATTAAGGCGTGATGAAAAAAAATTAAAAGGCATTGAAGAGATCCGTAAGGTGTTGAGGAGATATGTGAGGTGTTGAGGAGATCCGTGAGAAGGTGTTGAGGAGATCTGTGAGGCGATTATCAGGAGATCCGTGAGGGTTTGTTGATGAGATCCGCTAGAGAGAGAGAGAGTTGAGAAGAGCCGTGAAGGGATACCGAGGAGATCCGTGAGGAGCTGTTGAGGAGATGCGCGAGGAGATGCTGAGGAGATCCATGGGGAACTAACAGGACGTTCAATGTTATGGACCAAACGTTGCAATCTTTATGATATTTGATGCAGTGAGAACGTCATAACTGGACTGCAACATGGCCTTAAGGAGGCCGTAAGATGGTATTGAGGATGTTGTCATGCCGCCCTCGATAACTCGCTATGAGGCTGCGATGAAGCCGTGACATGGCGTGAGACTGATGACGTCGTCATTAAACCGGCTCGCAGTGGTGGGCAAGTGAGCCATGCGCCAAGCAAACGCCTCCTGAGCCACTGTGACCCGTTCTGACCTATCGTCTGGAAGCCCTGACCCCCTGACCTGCTGTGTGGACCCCTGACCCTATGACCTGCTGTGTGTATCTCTGACCCTCTGACTAACCTGCTGTGGGGATCTCTGACCCTCTGACTGACCTGCTGTGTGGATCCTTGGCCAGCTGACCTGATGTGTAGATCTCTGACCCTCTGCTCTGCTGTGTGATCCTGACCCTCCAACTGACTGCTGTGTGGACCCCGACCCTCTAACTGACCTGCTGTGCGGTGCGCCGTCGGTGTCCGGCTTGTACCACTCATTGTCAAAGCCCGCCCGTCCACACGGGGGTTGCTCCCTTCCACCGCGTGCACGTTGGTGTTGGGCACCGCCGACGACCTGCTGACGGTGGCCGTCGGAGAGCCTGGGGGCACGGACACGGTCAGTCTGGGGAGCCTGGGGCACGGACACAGTCAGCTGGAGAGCCTAGGGCACGGACACAGTCAGTCTGGGGAGCCTGGGGGCACGGACACAGTCAGCCTGGAGAGCCTAGGGGCACGGACACAGTCAGTCTGGGGAGGCCTGAGGGCACGGACACAGTCAGTCTGGGGAGCCTGGGGGCACGGACACAGTCAGTCTGGGGAGCCTGGGGGTACGGACACAGTCAGTCTGGGGAGCCTAGGGGCACGGACACAGTCAGTCTGGAGAGCCTGGGGGTACGGACACAGTCAGTCTGGGGAGCCTCGGGGTACGGACACAGTCAGTCTGGGGAGCCTGGGGGCACTGACCACAGTCAGTCTGGGGAGCCTGGGGGTACGGACACAGTCAGTCTGGGGAGCCTCGGGGTACGGATGCGGGCAGTGGGGAGAGCTTGGGGGCATGGACACATTCAGTCTGGGGAGCCTAGGGGCGCGGACATAGGCAGTGGAGAGAGCCTGGGGACAAGGACACCGTCAGTCGGAGAGTCTGGGGGCATGGACACCGTCAGTCGGAGAACCAGGGGGCATGGACAACGTCAGTCGGAGAGCCAGGGGGCATGGGCAGCGTCAGTCGGAGAGCCAGGGGGCATGGACACCGTCAGTCGGGGAGCCCTCTCGACTTTCCGCTCTACGGCCCGCCGCTCACCAGGCCGGGGACTGGACCTACCGAAGGCGGTGGCGGTGGCGGCGCGCAGCTGGCGCCGGTAGCGCGCGCGCTGGCTCAGGCAGGCGCCGAGCACGGTGGCCAGCAGCAGCAGCAGGAAGGCGCAGCCGCCCAGCAGCCAGCTGAGAGCGGCACGACTCGGCTCAGCACGAGCCGGCGCCGCGCCGCCGCCCGCCGCGTCGACAACACGTTAAACTCCTGCAACAGGAAGAGTGAAAAGTGTGCACTGGTGGCCTGCGCATTAACAATAATAGAAATGCAAGGTAGGTTGTTAAGTGCATCTGTGAGAATATTTCACGCGTACTGAAGACAGTCTGTTTATAATATATATATAATCTATATATATATGTATATTCATATATAATATAATATATATATATATATACTACATAGATATATAACACGTAAATAACATGCAATAAAGCTTAAGTATTGTTATATGTAGGGGTGTAATCCAAGGTGATGTGAAAAATACATGATAAGTAATAGCAAGTGCAACGAAGAAACACACATATCTAAAATTAAAAAAATCAAAGCAAAGATAGCAACACCGCAACAGCGCCTACGTACACGACTCTGAAACGCCGCAAGTGCAAGATGGAACACGGGACAATGCCAGATGCCTGCAAGTTGTTTTGTTTTTTGTTCTTCGCAGAACAGTACTGTTCCCAACTCGATAGGACTCCGCGGTGACCGGATACCGACCTTGAATAGCGGATCGAAGCGTCTCCACATTCTGGTCCAGCAGCGACAGCGCCCTGTCCACCTCCAGGATGCTGTGGTCACGCCGGTCCACAAAGTGGAGGTACAGGTCCGTCTTCGTGCGGTCCACGTCGCCAGTGTTGTCTCGTGAACTTTGAACTCGTCCACGTTGACGGTGGCGTTGGACACAGTTCCCCAGGTAGCTGTAGAGGCGGGCAGACAGAGTTCGGAATGTTCACATTGCATGATGCATTTAACAAAACGTGAGTGTGTATGCTGACGGTTCCTCGGGATTGACGCAAAAGCGCGATTGCTTAAATCTGTCCGCGCCACCAAATATTCCTGCTTGAATTTCCCACTACACAATGCCAAATGTAAATTGCGGCCAAAGCACAAAATCTCCTGAAAAGTGCTGGCATACGCTCATGCACGACTCTCCCGTTACTTCGTACAGGGTACCCTGTTCCGTGACGATCGCCACTACTGCTGGCACCTTCACACCTTCTGCAGGCGCCGTCTCACCCCGTTGACCACCACCGCTCAAAAGACGGTTAAGTTTCTGTGTAGCTGAAAGTGTCGTGTGAAAAGTGTCGAAGCGTCGAAAAATTGTGGAAGTGGAAGTGTCGCTAATGCCGGGTATATGCTCTGCAGTGCGTGACGCATTGCTTGCAGTGCTACGATAGAGCCACGGGGAGGCTGGCAATCCCGGTTTATGACAGCATGATGCTGTGAGTGAGAAATTGACGCGACTCGCACGCCTCAGCGTGCCACGTCAGGACGCTCGCTGTGTGTTCCTCATTAGTAAAGCCTGAGGATATGAGAGCTGAAGATAGAAAAGCCAGCCAGGAGAACGGCGAACTGCAGAACACGGCTCCGTGCACAGGCTCCAGCTGATCAGGCGCCCGACGCTGCCCGGGCTCCGACAGAGTCTGTGGCGGACATGCGGCGCTAACGCGCGTGGGTCACTGACGTGCGTCACTGGCGCGCGTCACTGACGTGCGTCACTGATGTGTGACACCGGCGTGCGTCACTGACGTGTGGTGCCGGCATGCGTCGCTGACGTGTAGCGTCGACGTGCGTCACTGACATGAGTGCGTCACTGACATGAATGCGTCACTGACGTGCGTGCGTCACTGACGTGTGGCACCGACGTGTGGCACCGATGTGCGGCACCAACGTGCGTCAATGACGTGCGTCACACTGAAGTGTGGCGTTAACGGGCGGCACGACATCGGTCTGCAGTGCTCCGCGTGAGCTCTCTGAGGTGTGGCACACGCGTCCTGAAGTGTGACATCTGGTCTTTGAGGTGTGGCACCTACTGCTTGCGTTGTGTACATCAAGAGGGCGGTACAAAGAGCGGTACAGAAAGTGTGACACCTTACCTCTGTAGTGTGGCACCTAGCCTCCGCGGTGTGACGCCTTACAACTGTAGTGTGACATCTAGCCTCTGCAGAATGGCAGTGTAGCACCTTCCCTCTGCCGTGTGTCACCTTCCCTCTGAAGCGTGGCACCTTCCCTCTGCCGTGTGTCACCTTCCCTCTGCCGTGTGGCACCTTCCCTCTGAGGTGTGTCACCTTCCCTCTGCCTTGTGTCACCTTCCCTCTGCCGTGTGGCACCTTCCCTCTGAGGTGTGTCACCTTCCCTCTGCCGTGTGGCACCTTCCCTCTGCCGTGTGTCACCTTCCCTCTGCCGTGTGGCACCTTCCCTCTGCCGTGTGTCACCTTCCCTCTGCCGTGTGTCACCTTCCCTCTGCCGTGTGGCACCTTCCCTCTGAGGTGTGTCACCTTCCCTCTGACGTGTGTCACCTTCCCTCTGCCGTGTGTCACCTTCCCTCTGCAGTGTGTCACCTTCCCTCTGCCGTGTGGCACCTTCCCTCTGGGGTGTGTCACCTTCTCTCTGAGGTGTGTCACCTTCCCTCTGAGGTGTGGCACCTACTCTCTGAGGTGTAGTACCTTCCCTCTGAGGTGTGTCACCTTCCCTCTGAGGTGTGGCACCTTCCCTCTGAGGTGTGGCACCTTCCCTCTGAGGTGTGTCACCTTCCCTCTGAGGTGTGGCACTTACTCTCTGAGGTGGTCGATGCGACGGCGCGCCTCTTGCGGCTGCATGCGCAGCACAAACTTGACCCGCTGGTCCTGGCGCAGCAGGTAGATGAAGACGCGCGCCTCGTCCCCCTCCTCCGACCGGTCCCGCACGTGCACCTGGTGACACATAGCGCATTGGGCTCCGTGGCTCTTGGGGAGGTTGCTCCCACTTCGACATTTGCACCCACCCCGCCCCCTCCCCCACCCAGTCTCACACCGGCCAAACTCGTCTCACAGCAATAAAAACGGCACAAACACATGGCGTTACACCAAGTAAAGCACGCCTTAAGGATGTCCTAATATAGTACAACACGCATCTTCGAAATTTTAGCTAAAAAGGTGGGAGAGGTTCGAGCTCGCACTGCCACTTAAGCTGCAACAACTTCAGCTGCAGCCAGCCGACGCTGGCGGCGAGACGTACCACGAAGTCGAAGTAGCCCTTCATGCCACGCTGGGGGTCGAAGTTGAGCGTCACCACGCCCGTCTTCTCGTCCAGCAGAAAGGGCACCTCGCCGATCGTCTCCAGCCCTGCCGGGGAGGACAGCAGTGTGCCCAGGGACCACCGTGGCGCGCTGGCGCAGGGCAGAGGCTCACACAGACCCGCACAGGTGCAGACTAGTGCCGAGCTGGGCAGTTCCCAAACCGCTTCCGGAATCGACCCGAATTTCGTTGGGTCGGAGTGTATTCGGTTTCTTTGGATTTTATCGAGAATTAGAGCCAAGTGTGAGTCGGCTAAACCATCCGCCAGTGAATAATTCAACTCAGAGCTTGTACGGTCTGATGTCAAAATACATGTTTCATGTCGCCTTCTAGAAAATCCATTAAGCCAGATATCTCACTCTAACTCACTCTATCTCACTCTAGATATCTCACTCTAACTCCCGTAACCAGAATCGATCTCATGAAAATCAATTCTGAAATTTCAGAACTTGTATAAAAAGACATAATAGATATAGAAAGATATAGAAAGATATACAGAAAGATATAGCCATATCTTTCGGGTTAAGATCCAAGTCGACTCGGACCTAAGCGGTGACCATCTGAGCCAGAGAGGGAATCAACCCAACACGTTGTGCCTCGAAATCGGAATAGATTTAGCTGAAATGAAAACACGCACAAGTCTGACTTTCAATGCCCCTACCTTCAATTCGTTGGGAATGCTGCCATGGGGTGCCGAGTCCTTACCTTCGCTGAGCGTCTTCTGTATGGCACCCTTGATAAAGTACCTCATCTCAGCGTTCGCCCCGTAGTCCAGGTCAACCGCCTGGGGGAAGAAGGTGCAGGAGTCCGTCAGTGGCTTCACTCGAAACCCTTGTTAGCATTTACGGTGTAGCTTCAGCACCCTCGTTTCTGCGGCGATATTTTCGCAGTTGGCGGTACCGAATCAACGTAAAGTCAAATTACCACGAGGGTCCTCCTTTTACCGATTTAGGTCCAGAAAGCTTATCGCGACTGCAGACCTCCAACTTTTGTGCGCCGTATTTGACTTCTATGACTTCTGGAGACGCAGCCTCGCAACCAAGGGTAAGAAAGAGCCCGAAAGACGTAACTCCAAGACAGGACGCTGTAGGTCCGTCTCGTAGCAACAGCGCGGCTGCTTCGGCGAGGCTGGCAGAAATATGCAGCCGACTGTGTTGACTGGGCGAGCTGTCACAGTTGAACTTGGTCGAGTTGAGCTTTGAGTGAGACAGGAACGTAACAAGGACAGCTTGTGTCGCTTCATCCAGTTAGACTAACCTCCAATTCACTGTGGGTCAAAACTAACCAGTCGCAGATCCTTACAATTATATTCCGGCTTCTGATGACCTCTGCTCCCCTGGGCAGCAGGGGCGGATCAAGAAGGGGAGAGGGCACAGGGCCATGGCCCCCTTGGACCCCGAAGGGGCCCATAGGCTTCCAAAGGGGCTTCCATAGCAGGCGGAACAGGTGCAGTTTTTGTTTAACACAAAATGCAACAAAATTGGACATTTTTGGATTCCCAAGCAGCCAAGAAAAATTGCAGGCAAAGTGATGGGCCCACGAGAAAATAAAATAAAGGAATTCAATAACTGGAGGAGTTGTTCATTGGGAACTACAAGCCTCATTACGCTTTTCAGGGGTCCTATGCTGTTTCCGAAGGACCTACATGCTCACTTGCAGGAGTGAACAGATCGTTAAGGAGCCCTCCATGCTGCCCTTGATTTCTGTGCATTTGCTCAGAAGGCCCCATGCTGCTGCTGGAACCCCCCCCCCCCCCTTGTTAGCATACTGAAGCACTATCGTCAATCAGGGGCCTTCCGCGGATTCCTTCCCATTCGCCAGAAAGGCTCTTTGGGCCACAGCCAAGTGCCCCATATGCTAACCTGCCGGGGAGTTTTCGGTTGCTCAGAGGCCCTTTACGTTGGCCTCGGTTAATTCACCAACACACTCACGATATGCTTATGGGATCTCTTCATTGGTCTAGCGCCCTTCCAGTTCTCTGTCACCTGTTGAGGACCCTGTGCTCTTGTCGGGGGCATCTGTAAACCTGCTCGGGCACACTCGATTGTTTGGAGGTCCTCGACATTGTGTCTTGAGCTCTTCCTATTCGAATGGGGGGCCTTATGCACTTGTCAGGGGCCCTATCTGTTCGCCTCCTCGACCTCACTGCATTGTTAGGGGGCCCTGTTTATTTGGCCTTGGTGTTTGAATTTAGGGCCCTACACTGGGCCACCTAATAATCTACTCGGGTACACTCCATATTTCGGGGGCCATCCGCACTGGATGTTGGGTACTTTTTATTTGAATGGAGAGCCCCACGCTCTTGTCGGGCCCCTTCTGGTACGCTGCTCGGACACATTCCATTGTCTGAGGACAATTTGCATTGGGTCTTGGGTACTTCCTATTTGAATGAAGAGCCCCACGCTCTTGTTGGGAGCACCAAACGGTTAACCTGCTCGCCCACGCTCGATCGGTCAGGGGCCTCTACATTGGGTCTTGGGTACTTCCCACTTGAATGGAGGGCACTACGCTTTTGACGGGAGCCCTACATGCTAACCTCCTCGGGCACACTCGATCGTTCGGGGCCCTCTACATTGTGTTGTGAGCAATTCTGATTTGAATGAAGGACCCTGTGCTCCTATCAGGGGCCCCACCTGTTAAACTGCTCGGGCACACTGTATCATCCCGGGCCCTCCACGCTGCGTCTTAGGTGCTTCTAATTTGAATGGACCACCCTATATTCTTGGCGAGCCCCATTTATTAAGCCGCTCGAGCCGGTGGCGGATGCACAGGGAGGGGAGGGAGGGTACGGGACCACGGACCCCTGTGTACCATGCCGAGGGGACCTATAGGCTCCGTAGGAGCCTATCACTGACCGACTGGACGCAGTCTTCTAACAAAACAAAACAAAATTGGACGTCTTCGGACCTACACAGGACCAAGAACGGTTGCTAGCAAACGACCACGTTGACGATGGTGTTGGACACATTCCCCAGGTAGCTGCAAAGGCGGACAGACAAAGTTCAAAATGCTCACTTTGCACAATGCATTTAACAAAGCCCGAACACATATGCCGGCGGTTCGTCGGGATTAGCACAAAAGCCCGTGTGCTTAAATCTATCCGCGCAACGAATATCTCGCTCAAATTTCCCGTTACGCCTCGTAAGCTGTTAAGTGCGACCGAAGGCAAACTCTTCTAAAAACACGACCACGCGCTTATGCACGGGCTCTCCCGTTACTTCATACGGGTACCTCGTTCCGCGATGACTGCTGCTGCGGGTCAAGAGCTCATAAGCAGACGAATGTACTTTTCGCTGCTTGTGAAGGTACTGCGAGGAGGAAGCTTTGGGTTGCATTACGCTGTCCAGGGGTATCATACTGTTGCCCGGGCCCTTCACGTCCACTTGCCAGGTGGATCTGATCGCTAAGGAGCTTTCCGCGCTACCCTTCATCTCTCTGTATTTTCTCTTAGAGCCCAACGCTGCTGTTGGGGCGCTATCCGCTTCCATACCTGGACACTTTTAACCGATCATAACCGATCAGGTTTGTCTCCACGGAATTTTCTCGCTAGTCCGTAAGACTCTATACGTTGTTTTCCGGGACCCCATACGCCAGGGTGCACTCAGCTGCTCAAGGGCCCCTCATATTAATTTCGGATTCCTTCCATTTGCTCGGACGGCTTTGTGCTGTTGCTGAGGCTCACATAAGGTAAAGCACCTGTTGACGGGAGGCACTTGGTTGGCCCCCTGCGGCACCCATGATCACTTAAGTTCTATCCCTATTGGCCTTGGCGCCTTAGCCTTAGAGCAGCAGTCGGATATGCGCCGAAGAACTTTTACGCACAATTGTCGAACGCAATTTTACGTACCGCCGGCGTCGTGTCAGTTTTCCTTGGCTATTAGGTGTGTGACACTCATTATTCTTCTGCATCACACTCGTAAGATGTTTGAAATGCCAGGATATTTTGCACTCCGTTATAATAAAGGAAAGATTCTATATTAGTCATCAGCCATCAGCTGATTACATCGCCCAGTTGGCTAGCCGTAAAAAGCTAGGAATCAAGTCCGTGCTTGGTTTTGATGGTATTTAGCAGCCAACTTGAGTTTATTTTGTTAATTAAAATCACAAGAATCAACATGATCTCTAGAAAATGAATGAGCTCCATGCATGTGCGTAAGCAGCACGCCCAGCTTTATAGGGCTACGCACAGTAAGATGTAGAGAGAGAGAGAGAGAGAGAGAGAGAGAGAGAGAGATAGAGAGAAGAGAGAGAGGAGAGAGAGAGAGAGAGAGAGAGAAGAGAGAGAGAGAGAGGAGAGAGAGAGAGAGAGAGAGAGAGAGAGAGAGAGATAGAGAGAGAGAGAGAGAGAGAGAGAGAGAGAGAGAGAGAGAGAGAGAGAGGAGAGAGAGAGACGAGAGAGAGAGAGAGAGAGAGAAAGAGAGAGAGAGAGAAGAGAGA